ACCTTCTTGAAGCTTTAGAAAAATTCGCTGTCTCCCTGTTGCTGGTCTCCCTTTAACTCCTTCTCCAAATCATCATTTTTTTCTGCCCACTCTCCCTGTTTCTATCAAGGTCCATGAGGAATAGAGAAAGAAAGGGAAGGGAAGGGATTAAGATGAAAAGTGGGAGAAGTGGGGAGTTGGAAAGAGAGAAGGTAGAGAGGAGAAAGGTGAAAAGGAAAGAGGAGGGTTAGGGGTAGAAGGATGGTTGTGAAAGAAGGGGATTTGATAAATGATTTCGGTATTAAACCAAATTAAGAGTTAATCCCAAAGAATCCTATATAATGAAAGGCCAGCAACCATAACGGCGTAACGACCAGAATGACCGATCAACCAGTCGCTATGAGGTACATTGATCACCTCTCGGTCCTTCCCCACATCCCACAGGCTCTGATCATTGGATGGCCAATGGGGAACCACAGGGAACCGGGGTAGGTGACCGCGGGGCAGGACTGGGGACTGGCGAGTGGGCAGAAGATGGCCCAGATTGCAGCCTAGGCCTGGAGACCCTACCCACGCACGTGTACTGGGCCTCTAGTGATGAAAAAGATTGTTGGTACAATGCATTCCTATAGAGGTTAAGATTCTGGCTTCTACCCAGATATCCCTGGCTGATTATTTTTACATTTTCATTAAAGGATCTTGCCTAGATAAGAGATGAAGTTTGCTTTTTATTTTTGTCAAATTACTTTTTAAACTTGTAATTATAGGTTCTTTTCAGAAAGCTCTACGGTGTTATTCATGCATTTATTCAACAAATATTTGTTGAGCATCCAGGAAATATGTTAGATGCTAGAAATACAAGCATCCCTCTATTTCAGGTCCCACTTCCTATCAGTGCTTCTATCTAACATTCACTATACTCAGATACACATAAACACACACATGGCAACACATCAACATTCTGTCGGTCCAGATCCTACCCCGTATTTTTTCAACCATCCACCTCAGCAAGAAAAAGTAGCATAGACCCATAAGATCCAATATGATAGGTTTCTTTTTACTACTTTAATTAATTTTGTCATCTTTATCCTCAACCATATCCAAGAGTCTCCAATTCCCAACTGTCCCTCATAACTCCCTCGCCCTTTTTTCTCCTCCACCCTTCTCTGCTCCTTCTGACCCCATACCTATCATTGCTACTTCCCAGAACCGCATGAGTTTATTACTATATCCTGCTGTATGCTCTTTCCTCCTCATTCCCACCTCTTTGCTTGAAATATCAGGAAATGATCTTCCAGCTAACTGGACTTAACGATTTGATGAATAATTTCTAATGTAGGGATTTTTTGGTTGCCTGCCCAGCATGGAAGGAGCTTAGACATTGCTACTCCATGCTAACAACAAGTAAAAGTCTGACCAAACTGAAAAATCCATGTTTTTTTAGAGTCATCAGTGAAGTAAGTCACAGGGAAAACCTATGCCCCTAAAATTGGAGAGACAGACAGGCAGATCTAGAAAATGATAACTCTCCAGGGCAGGAGCCTACACACAGAAACCTCTATGGGAACCACTACTCGGGTAGGAAAACCTGAATTGCAATTGATCATTTTTGGGACATGTCTGAGAGTTAAAAACTCCAGGGCAGCCCAGTCATGGGGGGTCCTCCACTCTTTTGTGAGTTTTACTTTCAGGAACTCTATTAGATCCTCACAGTGACTATCAGAAGAAAATATCTTCCTGCCACTGGCAGTAGGAGGGAAAAAGTAATCATTTTTAAAATAAACCAGATTTTCTTTTCTTCTTAACAAGGCTTTCTCTCTAAAGAAACTATTTTGCTGGGATTTTATCAGAGTGCCTAGCCTACCAGAGGAAAGGAAATGCCCAACTCCAGCCTACTCTAAATATCCTGTTCCACCTAAAGGGGGGTGGGACCCTGAGAAGTACTGATGAAGTTCAGAGTCTAGGGACAAAAACTGAGGCCTAATTTTAGGACTATAGATTCATCCCCTCATTCCCCCACACATTATAACCACATTCCTAAAGACCTAGTTACCAAAGTTCCTTTCACCCAGTATATCATGTCCACCTCTCAAAAAAAAAATTAAAGGCATACAAAAAGGCAAAAAACACAGTGTGTAGGGACTGAACAAGGATAAATACCAGTCACATATGGCACAAATATTGGAATTACCCAATTGTGAATTTAAAATAATTGTGATTAATATGCAAAGGACTCTAATGAAAAATATATAATATGTATTAACAGGTGATGTAAGCAGAGAGATGGAAATTCTAAGAAAGAATAAAAAAGAGAAGCTTGAGATCAGAAAACACTATATCAGAAGGGAAGGTGCCTTGATTGGGCTCATTAGTATATTGGACAT